CACCCTGCTGAAATTGGACTTGTTTTAACTTTTTTTTTTTTCTCATGAAGGGACCATTGATAATGAGTTATTCCCACTGTTAGGAAAAAATAAAAACATTTCCAATGAAGGGACCTTTAACATTGAGTTATTCCTGCTCTGAGGGAAAAACAAAAAACATTTAAACCAAAATTAAGCAACCAGGAAAATTCTAAATTCTGGGCAGGCTGTGCTGGCTCAGGCTGCAACTGTGGAGCAACCTCACCATTCTTTGGAATTCAGGTGTTTTGGCTCTTTTTCGTTGCCCAGCCCCTTGGCTGAAGGAGCTAACAGGCAGCTTGTAGCCAGAGAGCATTGGGTGCCACCTGACAGTAATTCCTTTCTTTTCTTTTCTTTTCTTTTTTTTTTTTTTTAAATCAGTAAGAGCCTTTCTCCTTCCTCTATTCCTAATCAGAAGAGCTCCCCCCCCTTCCCTTTATTTTTTTGTTTATGGGCCCTTTTTATTTGTAGGCCTTGATTAAACATTTTCCCTTCTAGCAGGAAAATCCATTTTTCCTCATTAAACAGTTTTCTTTTTTCTACCAAGAAAAGCCTTTTTCCTGGACTTAATGTTTGCATCTTTAATATTTGCAATAATTGTGCTTTACCTTTTAACAAGCATTTCAGTAACTGCACATAATGCTGCTCCCGAGATTGGGGAGTTCAAATTCCCAATGTCCCTGCCAAATCCCAGAGACTTCACTTTTTACCTCCAGTCCTAGCGTGTCTGGATCCCTCAGATAACAACCCGGGACTTTTAACAAATGGTAACAGTTCCTGACTTTTAACAAAAGGACTTTTAATAAATGGTAACAGTTCCTGACTTTTAACAAAAGGTAACAATCCTGGACTTTAACAAAAGGTAACAATCCCAGACTTTTAACAAGATGGAAAATCCTAGGCGCTATCACTCTTGGGTTCAACCCAGATGCAAAGGCTCTGTGGAACCTCTTGCTACACAAGGGCCTCTCAAAAGTCTCTGGGTGTCCAAGTTTAGGGACACAGTATTATTTGTTTGTTTGTTTGTTTGTTTGTGTAATGTACATTGGTGTGAAAGTGTCAGATCCCCTGGAACTGGAGTTACAGACAGATGTGAGCTGACATGTGGGTGCTGGGAATTAAACCCTGGAAGAGCAGCCAGTGCTCTTAACGGCTGAGCCATCTCTCCAGCCCAAGGGATACAGTTTTTAAACGCAAAACCCAGGAAAATACATCAAAGTTAGATGAGGGTCAGTGCAACTCTGAAGCATTCATTCCTGGCAGAACACAGAAGTTATTTTAGATGTAATTTGTCGATTATTTTGGCTAGTACAACTGGACTGAGGTCTCGGCAGTGGAATCTCAAATATGTGGTCAAGGCAAACATAACTGTTGTGGGGAGGAAGGTAGGGGGCTAAGAACTGTCTACGCAAACACAAAATAGAATCAGAATAGGATGGTATTACCTTAGTTATTTCAGTTTTGTTTTTCTGTGCTGTGTGCATGTGTGCTATGTGGTGTGTGTATGGTATATGTATGGTGTGTGTGTGTGTGTGTGTGGTATGTCTAAATGTTGTGTGTGTGTGGTATGTGTGTGAGGTGTAAGTGTGGTGTGTGTGAATGTGGTGTATATGTGGTGTGTGTGGTATATGTGTGTGTGTTATGTGTAGTATGTGTGGCCTGTGTGTGGTGTGCATGTGTGTGTGGGGGGTATGTGTGGCCTGTGTGGTGTGTGTGTGTGTGTGTGTGTGTGTGTGTGCATGTGTGTGTGTGTCCATGCAGGTCACTCGCCCGTAAGGACATATGAGGAAGAGGAGGCTGCTGTTTGATGTCATCCTTTATTGCTCTGTACCTTATTTTCAGACACAGTCTATTACTGACCCCAGAGCTTGTGGTTTATGCTGGACTGGCTGGCCAAGAGCCCCTGGAATCCACCCTCCTCTTTCCCAGCTTTTACCTAGATACTTGGGACCTGACCTCAGGTTCTCATGCTTGTATAGCAAGTGCTTCTTCACCCACGGAGCCATCTCCAGCTTCTCTCCTGCTGTTTGCTGAGACAAGGCTTCCTGTAGCCCAGGCTGGTCTTGAGTTCTATATGCAGCTGAGACCAGCCTGAACCTCTGGGTCCTTACTTCCGGGGTGATGTGATTACAGGGATGATGGGATAACAGGCAAGTACCGTGCGTGGGCTCCTCTCTGTGATCTTTGCTGGTGCTAGCTGGGGTTGGGGACCTGTGCCAAGGCTCTGAAAGTGCCTGATTCATGGTCTCATGCAGCCAGTCCCACCTGCAGCTCTGCTCTAGAACAGACCGAGGGGTCCCTGTGACCTGAAGAAAGTGCACAGGCTCCAGTCTCTGAGTTCCCAGAGGTCCAGAGTCCAGCAGCCAGCAGAGTACTAGCCCCTCCTCTGACCCTTTCTACCAGACCAGAAACAGGTCCCAGCCAGATTCTTCCTGCTTCTTCTAAAACATAAAAAAAAAAAAATAAAATAAAATAAACAAGGACAAGGGAGCTGTGTCCAGGCTGCCCTGAGGAGACACTTTTATTGCTTGTTAGTTCTAAACAAATTGTTACGTTAAGTTCATAATGAATTGTCCTTTCCAAGCATTCTAATCTTATGCAGTCCTGACCTGTTCTAGAGATGGGGTCAAATCCTTCAGAACAAGATGTCAGTCTCTGAAATGGCCCCCTCCTTTTTTGAAGGGGCACTGCTGGAGATTAAACCCAATCTTTGTCCACCACCTTTATTTTATTTTATTTTACTTATTTTTGGTTTTTCGAGGCAGGGTTTCTCTGTGGCTTTGGAGGCTGCCCTGGAACTAGCTCTTGAAGACCAGACTGGTCTCGAACTCACAGCCACCACTTTATTTTTATCTATTTATTTTTTGTGGGAGCCCACAAGTGACTCGGTTTCCATCTGGAGTCTATCCTGACTTCTAAGACATTAGAGTTCCAGCTTGCTTGCTCCAGTCTCCTTGAGAGCTGTGAGAAATTTCTGATTAAGCCCGTGAGATAGAGTGAATTATCTCTCTAAGGAGCTACTGATTCCAGCTGTAAACACACAGACAGATAATGCAGCTGCTAGCAGGACCAACATGATAGATAGTGAACCTGCCTGCTCCTCAATTCAAGGAGAGTGCAGGGAGCTGGTTAATTGATTATACTGTTCTTTATTCTGCTTTGCCTCCAGTCTGTATTTAAGCAGGATCTAAATTAAACTTGGGGCTGTCCGGTGTGCTAAAAGGCATGGACCCGCCAGTCCTCCTGAATCTGTCCTGTGTTTCTTTTTTTGGGGGGGGCGGGGAGTAGGTGGTTTCGAGACAGGGTATCTCTGTGGCTTTGGAGGCTGTCCTAAAACTAGCTGTTGTAGACCAACCTGGTCTTGAACTCACAGAGATCTGCTTGCCTCCGCCCCCAAGTGCTGGGATTAAAGGTGTGCGCCACCACTGCCAGGCTATCCTATGTTTCTGGATCTATTTCTTTATCTTCTGTTTCTCAATCCTCACGCCCCTACTCAGGTAACCCAGCTACTCCTTGGAGTAGGCTCCAACAATTTTTTTTAGTCAGGGTGTTATGTATCCCAAGCCAGACCCTGACTAGTTGAGGGTGACCTTGAACTTTTTAAAAAACATTTATTTTATTTATGTGTATGTGTGCATCTCTGTACACCAGGCCTACCAGGTGCCTGCAGAGTCCAGAAGAGGGCATCAGATTCCCTGGAGCTAGGGTTAGGAGTGGTATTGCAGGTGCCGGGAACCTAACCTGAGTCCTCTGGAAGAGTGTTAAGTGCTCTCTGTAGAGCCATCTCTCAGCCCCAACCTCGAACTTCGGATCTTCCTGTCTACACTTCCCACATGCTGAGATTTCAGGTGTAGACCACTGCACCCAGTTCTGTGTGGCACTGGGGACTGACTCTAGGGCTTTACGCATGACGGATGACTCAGCAGCCTACCAACTGAGACACATCTCTAGCCCCACAGGGCCCCACCCAAAACAACAACAACAACAACTACTACAAAAACAGTTGCAAATCCCAACAACTGCCAGAAAAAAAGGGGCTGGAGGAGGGAAAGAGGGGAAGCCATGCTGTTTGCGGTGGAGGCCAACCAGAAGCCACATGGCAAAGAGTGGGGAGGGCTTGAGGGACAGAGTGAAGGAGCCCGGTGTGTCAGGGAAGCATTCCCAGGGTTTAGACAGAACCTGACTGAGGGATAAGAAAAAAGGCTATACATTTTCTGATTTAGGAGTTGGAAAAGCACAAAACCAGTCCCTAGTGCTCTCTGGAAGCCAAAAATCTTAATCACATTTACTGATAAGGAAACACGCCAGTGCCTGTGGTGGTTTAAAAGAAAATGGCTTGCAAGGCATTGGTGGCCCACGCCTTTAGTCCCAGCACTGGGGAGGCAGAGGATGTCTGTGAGTTCGAGACCAGCCTGGTCTAAAGAGCTAGTTCCAGGACAGGCTCCAAAGCCACAGAGAAACCCTGTCTCAAAAAAAGAAAGAAAGAAAGAAAGAAAGAAAGAAAGAAAGAAAGAAAGAAAGGTGTGGCCTAGTTGGAGTGGGTGTGGCCTTTTTGGAATGAAGTGTGTCACCCAGAGAGACAGACCACACTTCCTGTTGCCTGTGAGTCAAGATGCAAGAACTCTCAGCTCCTTCTCTAGCACCATGTCTGCCTGCAGGCTGTCATGATGATAATGGACTAAACCTCTGAATTGCAATCAAGCCACCACATTAAATATTTTCTTTTTCCTTTATAAGACTTGTCATAGTCATGGTGTCTCTTCATAGCAATAGAAACCCTAACTAAGATAGGTCTCTTGTTGCAACTGGGCTGCACTTTTCACCGTGTCTTCTGGGCTCTCTTCAGGGACTCCAACCCTGTCACACAACGCCAAGTCTCAGCTACTCTCCATGACCCCTTCATGCCTTCAAAACCAGGACCACGTAGGTGACTCTTACACTACAGTATCAACCTCATCTGCCAGCATGAGTTGTAACCTTACCTACCACCTCTGGAACACAGCTTGTGTGGCTGACCCTGAGGAAGTCCCAGAAGATTTCCCCTCAATGGCTGGCCTCTTCTTAGTCGCAACCGAGTCTTCATCCCTGGCTGACCAACATCTAGTAAAGGAAAAGCTTAACTTTGGTGATTTTGGCCTCTGTCAACCAGTTCTTCAGCTCCCACCAAAAAAGCTCACCAGGCTCTGAACACTCAATGACTTTTCTTGCCCAAAGTTCCAAAATCCTTCTACAGTCCTCCCAAAAACATGGTCAGGCCCGTCACAGCAGTACCCCATAACTCTCACACCAGCTTCTGTCCTAGTTAGGTTTCTATCAGTGAGATGAAACAGCCTGACCATGGCAACTTAGGGAAGAAAGGGTTTATTTCAGCTTACACTTCAAGGTAACAGTCCATCACTGAGAAGTCGGAGCAGGAACTCATACAGGGCAGGAGCTGAGGCAGAGGTCATGGAGGGTGCTGCTTACTGGCTTGCTCCTCATGGCTTTCTCTGCCTGCTTTCTTATAGAGCCTAGGGCCACCAGTCCAGGGATGGAACCACACACAATGGGCTGGGCCCTCCCACACCAATCACTAATTAAGAAAATGTCTTACAGCCAGATCTTATGGAGGCATTTTCCCAATTGAGGCTCCCTCCTCTCAGATAACTCTAGCTTGTGTCAAGTCAACATATAACTCTTCATTACAGTGTCCAAGTTCGTCTTAACTGTGCTATAAATTGGGATTCCCATAATTCCTTCTACATAATCAGTTACCTTGTGAATACAGCTCACGGCTAATGGGGGATGTCTTTCTGTGTGCTGTGAATATGTTTCTCTTATTGGTTGATAAATCTGTGTTGGTCAATGGACGGGCAGGATGTAGGCAAGGCAGGAAGTATAGGTGGGGCTACCAGACTAGGAGAATTCTGGGAGAGGAATTCAGAGAGTGAGTTGCCAGGGAGACGCCATGTAGCTGCCAAGGGAGCAAGAGGTCTGGGCATCACCAGTAAGCCAAGACCATGTAGAGATACACAGAATAATAGAAATGGGTTAGTAATTAAGAGAGCTAGCCAATAAGAAACCTGAGTTATAGGCCAAACAGTTCATAATTAATATAAACCTCTGTGTGTTTATTTGGGACTAAATGGCCTAGGGACTGGGCAGGACAGAAACTTCTGTCTACAATAGCACTCAGGGAAATGCTGTGTCTGCCAGTTCATCATAAAGAGATTTCAAAAGTAGAGATGCACAGGCTGGGGCACGGGAGTGCGAGTGTGGGGGCTTTGTTCCGGCTATACATACAACCTTCCAGTGGCCCCTGGTCCACGGTCCCCCAAACCCTTTCTGTGTCTCACTATGTAGCACTGGCTGGCCTAGAACTCATTATATACACCAGGCTGGCTTGGAACTCAAGGTGAGATTCTCCAGCCTCTGCCAAGCCAACGCTGGGACCACAGATGTAGGTGCCACCATGTCCAGCTTGCATAGGCAAGCATGGGGCTGGACAGCCATGAGAAACAAGATTACACAAGAAGGATATAATTACTACTGAGACTGGGGCTTACAATCGTCTATGACTCCAGTTCCAGGGATTCCAAAGTCCTCTTCTGGCCTCCATGGGGAACCAGGTGTATATGCGATGCATAAACTTATATGCAGAGAAAATACTCATACATAAATAATAATTAATTAATTTTTAAAAATTTGAGACAAGCTCTCTCTATGTAACAACCCTGGCTGTTACTGGAACTCACTCTGTAGACCAGGCTGGCCTTGAACTCAGAGATCCCCCTGCCTCTGCCTCCTGAGTGCTGGGATTAAAGGCGTGTGATATTACCCCTGACTTGTATTTTTTTTAATAGAAAAGAAAAAAAAAACAAAAAACCAAACAGACTGGGGATATAGCTCGGTTGGCAGAGCTTTAGATGACAGGCCGCCCATAAAACAGCATGGCAGTGTCTCTGAAGAGTGATAGAGGCAGGAGGGTGACAAATTCAGGGTTATCCTCAAACACAGTGGGCCTGAGGTCAGCCTGGGCTACATGAGGCCAGCCTGGGTTACATGAGGCCCTGTCTTGGAAAGAAAGGAGAGAAAGAGGAATTAAAGAGAGAGTTATGAGCAGCCATGAGGGTGCTGGAACCAAACCCATGTGCCCTGCAAGAGCAGCCACTGAGCCATCTCTCCGGTGCCTTTGAACGCATTTTGCAAAGTCTGTGGGAAGCCACTGGAGTTGTCAGCCAGGGAAAGGCTGTGTGTGCTTGCTTGCATCTGGGATGGCTCAATCAGGCTTCAAAAAGAAGGATCTAAGCCAGAGCAGCAGAGGGCAGAGGTGGGAGGTGGAAGCAGGCGCTCCAGGCTGGAGGCTTAGGGTGTGATGATGTGGACAGAAGGAAAATGTGGACGCCAGAAAGATCTTTATGAGGGAAAAATCAAAATATGTAAGGATTACCAGGCATAGTGGCACTCAGGAGGCAGAGGCAGGTAAATTTCTGTGCATTTGAGGCCAGCTAGGGCTATGTAGCAAGAACCTGTCTAAACACACACATACACACACAACACACACACACACACACACACACACACACACACACCCCCCCACCAAAAAAAAAAAAAAAAAAAAAAAAAAAAAAAGATTCTGAGAATGGGAGAAGCAGGAGCGGAGGGCACTGAAAGCTTTTAAGGTGGACTGGATAGAAAGAGCCATGGCCTCTGCTAGGAATTCCAAAACCTGGGTTTTGCTTTGTTACTGTTGCTGTATCTACTGTTGCTATTGTCACTTGTGACAGCATATCCAGTAGCCCAGAAGAGCCTCAAGCTCGCTATATCCCAGGATGACCTTGACCTTAGATCCACTTGTTTCTACTCTCCAAGTGCTGGGATAATATTAGGGCATGCACCCAGAGTGTGGGGTGCTGGGCATGAAACCTACAGCATGCTAGGCAGGCCCTCTACCAAGTAAAACCTACTCCTAGCCCCCATGTGTACAATTTTGGTGAGTTCTTCAAAGGGTTGCTAAGGAATTAAGTGAGTCTTTTTATACGGGATTGCATGGATAAGGTCAAGTTTTAAGTCACAGGCACTCGGGAGGTTAGGGTATTGCTACTATAAACAGAAATTACAAATCCTATCACACACACAAATAAATAAATAGATACAAAGAAACAAACAAAAGTTACTAGTCTTGTTTGTGAAATTCCGGAAAAGGGAGGCAAGGACCAGCGTCATATATGCTTAGTCCTCAAGCCTGATTCATTGCTATTTTAACATTCCTACTTGACACCTCTCAATATAAAAGAAATATCATCTCTTTGTTGGCAACTTCCACAGCAAATGTTAATTGTTATGGAATTCTTTTTTTCTGTAAAGTTTTTTTTATTACATGTATTTACTTCCTGTGTATGGGGGTAGGGTGTCAGGTCAGAGGACAGCTTGTGGGAGACAGTTCTCGTTCCACCTTGTGGATTCCAGGGATCAGGCTCAGGTCATCAGACTTTGCCACAGTGAGCCATCCTCCTGGCCCTTGTTGGCATCCTTGGCTCTCAATTTGGCATCTCGTCTTCAACAAGATTCCAAGGCAAGAGCCCCCTCCAGATCCCTGCAATATTCTGCCTTTCTGTCCTGGCTCGGTTTCCCACCTGCCATTGCACTACTGTTGTTAGACCCCCGGAAAACTCAGGCCTCCGGGGTCCCAGCCCAGGACTGTGGTCACCCCAATCACCAGGCAGATTCGAAAGCTTGCTGCAAACTGCATGAGGCTTTATTATTGTTTAACAAGCTTACCCCATGTTAGCTCGGGTCTTTCACCTACCCGCCAAGGCGGATGGCTAGCAAAGACAGCTTAAAGGGGCTGCATAGAGATCTTGTAGGGCAGCGTAAGGGGAGTGTCTAGGGGTAGGCACGGGGTCAGGATTGGTGTGCTTCCAGGCTTGGAGGGTATGCCCTGTGTTGATTGGCCAACTGGTTGTTATGGCCCATAGGCCCTCCCAAGGTGGTTGCTATGCTCTATGAGTCATTGCTGTGCACTTGTCCGTAAAGCACACCCAGAGCCTTAAAGCATAGCGCCCCTAGCTAACTTCTGATTGGTTCCTTGCCACGAGGCAGGCACCTAACCTCTAGTAACCAAGGCAAGGTCAGAAAAGCTGTTATGGCTGCTGAAATGGGGAGCTGGTACCTTCAATGTTATCTCACCAACCTGTGATTCCACAATCCTACATAACCCAATGACACCAGATCCTGTGAGGTTAACTCATTAGCAAGGGCAAAAATTTAAAAGTGGTGTTAAATCTGGTTAGAGAGCCTAGCAGTTAGGAGCACATGCTGCTCTTGCAGAAGACCTGGGTTTGGTTCCCAGCATCTATATCAGGTGGTCCACATCTACCTATAACTCCATTTCCAGGAGACGTGACACTTTCTCTGGCCTCTGAGGAAAGTGCATGCGTATGATATACATGAACTCATGTAGTGTACACACACACACACACATAAAAATAAATCATCTTTGAGAGGGTGGGTGAGTCTGGCCGTGGTGGGATGCCTTTAATCCCAACACTCAGAGGCAGGCAGATCTCTGAGTCCAAGGCCAGCCTGGTTTACAGAATGAGTTCCAGGACAGCCAGGGATACACAAAGAAACCAGTCTCAAAAACAACCAAAAAAAAAAAAAAACAACAAAAAAAAAGGTGGTGGGATTGGTGGGTGTCACTTCCCCAGGATTCTGCCAATGAACATAGCCTAACCTTGGCTGTAGTATAGTTGAGAGATGTATAGGAATCTCATTCACTAATATTTCTTCCTCAATGACTGAGGGCTCCTCAGGAGCAAGAGCAAGAACCTCTGGCTCCTTGTCCTGTCCCTGGGACCATGTCAGGTGCACTGTAATTGAGGAGCTGTGTTTGTCAAATTGATCCTTCTTAGTTATGTGTTTATATGAATCTGTGTGCTCGAACACCTGCACATGGGTAGAAGAGGGCACCGATCCCCTGGAGCTTCCTTACAGGCCATCATATATCGTCTGACATGGGAGACAGAGTTCAAACTTGGGTCCTCTTGTGAAATCAGTATGCATTGTTAACTGCTAAGCCATCTCTACCCACTGATCCTTTCATTTTTCATTTTATTTTTATGTGTATAAATGTTTTGTCTGCACATATGTATAACGTCCAACCAATGTGTGCCTGGTGCCTGCAAAGGTGAGAAGATTTAGTCATATCCCCTGGAACTAGAGTTCAGATTGTTTGGCCCACCACATATATGCTGGGAACCAAACCAGGGTCTTCTACAAGGGGAACAATGCTTTTAGTCACTAAGCTAGTTTCCCAGTGCCCTGTCCCTGACACCCTGCTTTTTAAAGACAAGGTCTCCCATGCCCAAGCTGGCTTTGAACTCACCTTGTGGCTGCAGATGGCCTCAGACTTCTGATCCCTCTGCATCTACCTCCTGAGTGCTGGGATTACAAGCATGTGCCGCCACACCCAAGTTATTCTAGTTGGTGCTGGGGACTGAAACCACAGCCCACTTACTAAATAGTCTACCAATTGAACTACATCCTCTGTCTTCAAATTGATCTTACAAAGAGTAACTGAGGATGCTGGACAGTGGTGGCACACACCTTTAGTCCCAAGCACTCAGGAGGCAGAGGCAGGCAGATCTCTGTGAGTTCCAGGCCAGCCTGGTCTACAGAGTGAGTAACAGGACAGGCTCCAAAGCTACAGAGAAACCCTGTCTCAAAAAACACAAAACAAACAAATAAAAAAAGAGTAACTGAGGGTGGGCACATGGTTTTTCTAGGACAGTGCCCTGGTGCAATGTGTTAATGTCTTCAGTGTACTGGACATATTGAGACCGTTAGGACATACAAGAAGATGGCAAGCGTGGTAGCCCATGTCTACATGTCTCAGCTTGCATGAGAGTCACCAGTCTGAGGTTAGCCTCAGCTGCTTGATGAGACTACACACACGGGGGTGGGAGGGCTTTCTCTCTTTCTTTCTTTTTTGAGACAGGATTTCTCTGTTTCCTGGCTGTCCTGGAACTCGCTCTGTAGACCAGGCTGGCCTCGAACTCTCAAAGATCCACCTGCCTCTGCCTCTGAGTGCTGCGAGTAAAGGCGTGCACCACCAACGCCCCTCAGGAAAGGCCATTCTTAACTTGTACATCAAGTCACGTATCTAAGAGACATATCAAACAAGAGGAACACAAATCAAATGTCAGTTTATTTCTAGCTGTGGTTACTTCTATAAGGAAAAATACTGGGTCCAGAGTGTGTCACAGGAGTTCCGACTTGCGGGGGAGGAAAGATTTCTCAAAGAATGAATTTACAACAGAAGGGACAAGATTTACTCATAGAGCGACAAGGGAGGGGAGACGGCAGGAGGTCTCTTAGAAAGAAGGAAAAGCTAGCATCCAGCATGCTGCCGCTTGGCCCGTAACCACCATCCCCATCCTGCACACAGGAGGTTGAGGCAGAACTCTGGGTTTGAAACCAGCCTGGGTGACATGGTGAGGTCTTGTCAAAATAAAGCAGAAGGATTACCAGGCATGCGTGAAAGCCTGGAGCATGGAGCAGAGAGGAGAAATATTAGGTTGGAGAATTGTGGGTATTTCTTTCTTTGCATACATTTCGCATCTAAATTTTCCACAACAAACACTCTCATTTTAACCCTCCGAAGAGGGAAAATAATTGTTAGTTTAAACAAAACAGTAGAGGATGTGGAGAGAAAGGCTATCTTGGAGGACAGTGCACATTCCAGGGCACTGATGACATAAGTGGGGAGTAATTCCTGTGTGGGGGAACCAGGAGGCATGAACCAGGCATGAACAAAGAAACAAGGGTGACTCACCCATGGTACAGTGGAAGCCCGCCCACAGCCCACGAAGGTGAAGCTGGAGCAATGGGGGCGGTCAGAGACACAGTGAGTTTTCATCGGGGATTTCATGGAAGAGTCTGTCCCTTCAGCAGAGAGAGGATGGGAGAACTGGGCAGAGAAAGCCCAACCACACCAGGAATGGTGGCACTTGCCTGCAACCCCAGCACTCAGGAAGCTGAGGCAGTAGGAGAGCCACAAGTTCAAGTCCATGTGGGCTACATAGTAAGTTTCAGGCCAGCTTGAGATACACAGGGAGGCACACACTAGTACGAGTGTCCATGGAGGCCAGAGGTGTTAGGTCCCCCGGAGCTGGAGTTATAGGTGGTTGTGAGCCACAAAACCTGATTTTTATGTGTGTACCTCAAGGCACCCAGTCAGAGTCCCGACATAACCGTGGTGATGCCCACCTATTTGTCCATTTTTCAAGAGTGTCCCAGGAAGCTGGAGCATAGGAGGGCAGCTAAGATCAACCCTAAGATAGGACAGATGTTGTCATCCACTTTAGGGTGAGATCCAGTGCTGTGGCTGTTTGGGGGGGGGTTACTCGTGCTCCTGTGAGTAACCCCTCACCTGTGCTCTTAGGTAAACCCCCCAGGTACACTGGTTCCCCAAGTTGGACTTTGGTGAAATGTTACTTTTGGTTTGGTTTGGTGTCCAATAAAGAGGAAGATGTTTGTTTACACCTCCTCCGGCAAAGAATCCCTGAAGCATACATGCACACATAAATAAAACAAAGAACACCTATCCAAGAACACTCTGCTGGTGTCTTAGGGGAGCAGGAATGTGGGTCGAGCAAGAGGTGGCCGTCCTTGGTACAACAAAAGAGGAGAAAGCCCTGCGCCTCCAGTCCCCGCATGAGAAGTGGAAGTTGTGGTTTCAAAAACCCTTCCTGATCTCTAATCTCCAAAAGAAATCGCTAGCCTGTGACATTTCTAAAGAGATATAGCCGAAGATTGCTTGGGGAGAGAGAAGGGCACCAGCAAGATTTAGAAACGGAGGCTTGATTTGATGCAAGTCCCAAAATCTGTCCTGGCCTGCTCCCGGATGAGATAAGCACCCATCGTGCACTGCGTCCTCGGCGCCCGTCCTCTTCGTCCTCGGCGCCCGTCCTCTTCATTTCTAATTTAAGCAAAAGAATAACATTTGACACCCAAACAAGCCCTCTCTGCATCCTCTTCTCTCCCTCTTCTCTTCCTTCTCTTACACTTTTCTGTACCTCTCTTTCTCTGCTCTACTCTGTTCTTCCATTTCTCACTCTCCCATCTTAATATAATTAATATACTCTTTATGCTCTCCATGGTTCATGTTCCATAGAGCGCGCCTTTAAGCAAAAACCTAACACCTCTGAGTTGAACCTACAGGAACTAGCCCCAGCCACTACCTACTTTGGTTTTCCCCTCCTCCTGTGCAGATCTGGGTCTGGAGGCTCCACCTGAGCTGTCCCTGGGGAGATCCCATTAGCACCCACCTCCCACCTTGCACCCCTCACTCATCAACCAGGACCCTGAGATGGGATTGGAGGGGGCTTCCTCCTGACCCCTCCAATTCAGAAGCTGAACTCAGCGTGAAGGCTGTGTTCTAGGAAATCATATAAAGTCGTCATTTTGAAAATTTGTTTATCCAGCTCCACCTAAAGTCTTCATTTTAAATCACCTAATGTTTGGGTCGGAGAGATGGCTCACTGCTTAAGAGCATCAGCTTCTCCTTTAGAAGGGCTAGTTTTGGGGCTCCCAGCACCCCATAACTCACAGCTACCTGTAACTGGAGTCCTAAGGGACCTGACACCCTCTTCTGGCCTCTGCTGGCACCAGACAGGCACATGGTGCAGAGACATACATGGAGACGAAACACCCACACACATAAAATAACAGCTGCGTGTTGATGGCCTACGCCTTTAATCCCAGCACTCAGGAGACAGAGGCAGGGCGATCTCTGTGAGTTCAAGTCCAGCCTGGTCTACAGAGCGAGTTCCAGGACAGTCAAGGCTACACAGCAAAACCCTGTCTCAGAAAAATAAAAGATAGATGATTGGTAGATAGATAAATAGATAGATAGATGATAGATGACAGATAGATAAATGATAGATAAATAGATGATAGATAGATAGATGATAGATAGATAGATAGATAGATAGATGATAGATAATTATTTTAAATAAATAAAATAAGTCACCATGCCTCTAAAATGCAGAACCAGTCAGCAGGGTTCCCAGGGCTTGCCTGTACCCCTGTGGTGGCCCCATGCTGATATGGGAATGATGGGGTCATTACCCTAAAGAAACATCCCAGGGTGAAAGCACTGGTTTCTTGGTTGAGATGAGCACCTAAAGACCTGGGTCACCTCCTGTCACAACTGAATGCTTGGACCTGAACCAGGGCCAAACCACTTTCCCCTCTGAGCCTCAGTTCCCTCGACTGAAATCCTCTTGACAGCTACTGTAGATCAATTCGCACACTTTATGTGAAAAGAAGATGGTGGGCTGAATAGTGCCCTTCCGGCCACAGACATCTACAGCAATAACCCTACCAATGCTTTTACTCAGGTCTCGGTCACTCCTGAAAATAGCAAATGGAAAATTACAGAGATAAGCAACCCGTGAGCTCTGCTGCTTTGAGTGGCGTGATGAAATCTAGTGCTGTCCCACCCAGGGTGTGAATCATCTCTGTCCAGCGTATCCATTCTGTATACACTACTCACCTTTGCATCATCATGGTCCCGTGATCCAGGATCCCCTGGGGGATGGGAGCCTTCCGACATATGCTTGAAAGGTCAGCAGTGGCCTGGTGCTGTGTCACAATGCCTATGTCAAGCCCCTCAGTTCATCACGTCAACATAAAATCCAGGATGAGTACTACACAGTAAGCTATTTTTTTTTTATGAGACAGGGTTTCTCTGTGGCTTTGGAGGCTGTCCTGGAACTGGCTCTGTAGACCAGGCTGGCTTAAAACTCACAGAGATCCACCTGCCTCTGCCTCCCGAGTGCTGGGATTAAAGGTGTGCACCACCACTGCCCAACCACAGTAAGCTATTTCAAGAGACTGCATTACACAATCTTTACTACAGTATTATAATAAGTATACTATATTACTGTACTTATTATTTATCTATTACTGTCCCTAATTTATGAGTTAAACTTTTTCATAGATAACATGGTTTATGTGGATTTGGTACCGTTTTTTAGACATACAAGGGAAGTCGTGGAAAATATCCTTCTACAATAAGGGACAACTACAGCATTTTCCAAAGACTGCCCCTGCTACTGCCCCTGCTACTGCCCCTGCTACTTGCTCTCCTTGGCACATGACTGACACTCTGCTGTGGGAGCCCATTCTGTCCAATGGGGTGTGAGGAAAGCAATTCGGTTATAAAAAAAAAAGTGATGCTATCAGTCTGGGAAGATAGCTTAGTTTGGTAAGTGAAGGCATTTGTCACCAAGCCTGACACTTGAGATGGATACAGTTCCTCCCTGATCGCCACATTACACACTGTTATTCATATGCAAAAGTAGGTAAATCAATGTCATAAAAAGCAGAAGGAGGAGGAGGTTGTTAAAAGGCTTTAATGGTACTTTAGTCCCAGCACCCAGGAGGAGGCAGAGGCAGGTGGATCTCTGTGAGT